GAACGCACGCTGCAGAAGCAGCAGAAGCAGCTAGTTTACACGCAAAGTCTATGGTTGATGTGCATCAAGGCACAACAAAAGGTCTGCAGAGCGTTTTGAGCAGCAGGAGCAGTGCAGCTAAAGCAGCACCTCACGAGCTTCTGAGCATCTCACACGCATGATGCGCTTCAGAATCAGCAGCTGCTGGAGTTGGCAAAATTGAACTTTTCCTGCTCTACGCGCCACATCAACCAATCAGAGAAGCTGATCCGGGAGTTGGCAGGGAGACAGACACATTGCTTCTGATGCAGAGCGCTATGATCACTCCTCTGAAACAGTTAATTAATGCCTAAATTAACTTAAAATGTTGAAACCTGCCGGCAAAATATGTTCAGTTTTATTAGTCTGGTGGCTGCAGTTTGGATTACACGTGAAAAACGCCTTCCAGCCACCTCGAACAGTAGCGTAACCACTAACCACTAAGAGGCTACTGGGCCAGAGGCTGCTGTTGAACGGGATTCCCAGTGACCGCGCACTGCTGTAGTACTCCAATAATGAAATAATATTTAAAGGCAGGATCATAATCTTAACGAACTGACTGCACAGATGAAATTTTCAGGTGGACTTTCTCACTTAAAAACATTTTAAAACTACTTTTTACCCACTGATAGCAGCAAATATAGCTACCATTGTTACAGGCAAAGAAAGGATAGGGTAGCTCTGCCCAGCTCGCATCAGCCGCACTTTTCGACCGCGCTGCTAGAGCAGCAAAGATGCTTCAGCCGCGCATCAGAAATAAACTTGAACAAGCATTAAAAAATGAAGCAGCATGCGCGTTTTTGCTGCTTCTGCTGCTTACAGTCTGAACTTAGCATCACATTCCTTACCAGTTGGTGGCCGAAATGCACCTGGAGGTTTTTCACCAACTGCCAATAAAAAAAGAAAAAGTGGATGAAAACAGAACCGCTAACTGAATGTTTAATCTTTGCTGAGCTCAGTGTACATCTCTGTCACCTAGCAAATGTCGACACACAAAGAGGCAAAGAATGGATCCTGAACTTTTCAATACTGTTTTGGGTGCTAATAACATTTTCGAGGGGCTTCAACAGCAGTACTGTCGTCAGATATCAGATATATAGTCCCCACACTGCAGAGATATTGGAATCTGAGCTTAAATATCAGCCAAACCCATTTGCAAAGGAACAGATCAAACATTTCAATAAACCAAACATTACCTGCCACATATCTGACTCAATAACCATTCAAAAAAACAACTTTCATTCATTTCAGACTGAACTATTAACATTCTCTTCCAATATTCCTGACTGTCTGGCGCCATTTCCCTTTTTCCTCTGAGCACGGAGCAGTCGGCTTGCTTGGATTTGCAATGAATCATGGGATACCCAAGGCTACGAAGGATACAGCGGACTTATCCTTTAAAACTGGCAAAAAAGAAGGCTGGATAACGAGGAGTCCTCAAATCTGAACTATGACGTAATCAGCCCACGAATCTGGCCTTCAGAGGATGCAGCTGCTGAATTCGTAGTCAGCAAACCCTTGTGTAGAATATTGCTTGGTCTGATGGTTCTGCTTTTGTCTTCTTCCTGTTCTTTTTTATTTAGAAACAGCTGGAGACCAATTTTCAGACAGTTTTTTTTACCAGCTGGTAGGAGTTATTCAGCTTCATCTGGGGTTGTAGATTCGTACCATTGTATTTCAGAGATGGTAAGTAACGAAGTACAAATACTTCGTTACTGTACTCAAGTAGATTTTTCTGATATTTTTACTTTACTACTTATTTTTATGGTGACTTTTTACTTCTACTCCTTACATTTTTACACAAATATCTGTACTTTCTGCTCGTTACTTTAGTTTTTAATCATTTCAATGGAGTTACCGTTATTATTTTTTTTAGTTTTTTTCATATTCAATTTTTTTTTTATCTAAATTTTTTTTTTCAGATTGAGTTTCATAATTTGCATTCTTTTTACGTTTTACCGATCCACTTCTCCTCACCTGATGTCCAGTATAAACGCTCACATTGACCAATCAAAATGTTGTTGTTAACGTCCAGCAGACCAACAGAAATGTGTTTTTTCTCTTCACTCCAGATGTAAAGAGTGCTTTTGCTTTTGTTTTTTAAAAAGGTTTTTCAAATTTTCATTTATAAATCACAGCTTTTTAAATTTCTTTTTGCAAAACATGTTCTTTTCTTGGAACAATAATAGAACAAAATTCCCTGCTACTTCATTTTGTCTGCAGTCTATGTTAAAGTAATTCCAATTCAATTGCTAATTTTACATAGCAAGTAGTTTCCTGTATACTGTGAAAAGAATTTATCCAAAATATTCTGTTTCCTTGACTTTAGGTTTACAGATTTCTTATGTTAAGTTTAGTGACAGCAGATGGGTCAGGGGAATACGCTTCTGTGTGCCATGCTTGCAACCGACATTAACCAGAAGTGCAATCAGGGCCCTGAGGTCACAGAGTCAGAGTCACAAAAGCACAACTCCAAGTTTACTGAACAAAACCTGCTGCTGACCAGGCTGGCTCTGGGGAGAATGTTACTATGGCAACAGAAACAGAGGTCTGGGTTCTGTTTCACTCTCTTAGTAAAACAGAACCCTGATTGCAGTTTTAGAAGACGTTTTGAGTGGACCTGCTTTTTAGAAGATTTGCATGTCTCAAAACAGGTGCAAACACGTTTATACACACAAAGCAGATCTTTGATCAGAGGTGCAAAATGATTTGTGTTTTCTAAGTGTGCCTTCCTCAATATGCATCAATACTTCATCAATATGCAGACCATATTCTTATATTTGTATAACTTTTGTTCATAGCACTTATAGATAAGACATTTTTGTAATATGATTATTATTGTTTTATAATTATCCTAATAACCGCCACCTTCATGGCTTTGAACCTCATCTTTCGTATACGATGAGTAAACTGCCACTAAAACACAATCTGTTCATTTTGATGAATGGAACCAAACTGGTTTACATGTCCTGCAATCTTTGTAAATATCCTCCACACACAGTTATTGCCAAGACAAAAACAAACTGCATGTCTAAACTAGCGCATCTTGTTCTGAATCTTGAAGCCAGGCCCTCAGTGGCCTGTTGGTTCACATCGCCAGTTTGGCCAAATATCTTTTAAAAGATTTTTTAGGACAATAAATTTCTCTCATAGAATTAATTTCAATCCATTCCTGAACCTGTTTTAGAACATGAAGTCATATCTGTCTCTCAATAGAGAAGAAGCGTTTTATTGATTTACCTTTATTACTTCATGCCTTTGCATTTTAGGATACCTGCTCACAACAGTACACTTGAATCGATTCATTCAGTTTTATCCAGTTAAATTAAACATGCAAATACAAAAATATTCCTTACTATGTAGTATTTACACAATATTATTACATTCCCTAACTATATGAAGCAATAAGTTAAATCGCTAAGCTTAATAAGATCCTACAGAGGCTAGAGTTTTTTTTTCAGTAAAGTTTGCAGCACAGGTTTTGGTTTAGCTCTAAGGAGACTCAAATAAAAGATCCTCTATGCATTTAGCATATTTAATAGAGCAAGCAGCATTACGTCAACTGGTTAGTTTGTAACCAACAGATTTAAGTGTAAGGGAAGGAAAATGTCTGTTTTAGGGGATAAGCATAGTTTCAATCGGGTTTACAATCATCCTCAGTCTTGACACTACTGGTGTTTCTGTGAGAATATAGTTTCTTAATGTATATTTTATTATTTTATTTTCCATTTAAGCATCAGATCTAAAATCTGGCCCATGTTGCTCATGCTAATATTGGATCAGTTATTTATTTTAAAAGCAGCAATCATCTCTCTATAGAAACTGGCAGATTGTCTATGGAGATTGTCGACCAATGCAACTTAAAAGCTAATAGTCTTGTTACAGTTTACTAAGGTTTAAAAACTGTTTTGCAATAATCAGCTATCTAGTTTATACCCCTCAACAGGCACATGTGTTTTTTCAAGCAAAGAGAAGATATGAAATGAAGAACAGGCTGAATAGTAGAATACTGGAGGATATTTGCATTAGAACTGCTTAAAGCCCTATTTACTGTACATACACTAAATAAATAACTAACTTTGTGTATAAAAATACTGATGATTAACAGAGTTGTACACTTAAACTAGATCCTATTAGTCGGTGGACGCTGTCGGCAGACCCTGACTTCAGCTAAATTTCATGTTTTATGAATCTGAAGTCCTTTGCAAACTTTGCAGCATAAGTCACATATGTTCTCAGATGTATGACATAGTTAGCATGCGCTAACATTAGAGCTGAAAGGGGAGGCACAAGTACAGATGTAGTAATGAGAGATCCCACGTCATAAAGAAAGGAGAGCATCTAACAAAAGGCCTTGTTTGCATCGGACTAAACGTACCTAATTATAAGACTTAAATGTCTGCATGGTGCAAAGAAGTTGTTTACTGTTGTGCAACCGATCATGCCTAGATTCCTTTGATCTGATTGTTATGATTAGTTATCATAATACTGGGTTAAACTAGGAAGCTGCAGCTTATTTATAAGCCGTTAAACTGTTAAGAGAACATGTCATAAAAAAACAGACTTTATTTCACTAATCATTATAGGGCTGCATCAATCATTTGCCCTGATTTCCCTATTTTGGGGAGATTGCTGATTGGCTTACGCTCAGCTGACTCTGAGCACCTCCTTAATTTAATAACCCAAACAGGAAAAGTCAGGCAACAAACAGGAAATACTCCTGATGAAGTGGAGGATTTGGCCAATTAGCTGTGAATGCATCATCAAACGATGGTGAGTTTGCCCTGCTGACATATTTTACATCTACAATACTTTTAAAACTGTATTTGAGTTCATGTTTAATCACTTTTTAATAGGAAGAAAAACAAAGAGAGCTCATCCAAAAAACTTCCCATTTTCTTGTGAGGGTACACACAAGAAATTGACTTGTGTTTATGCACATTCATTTGGATGTAGCTTTAGCAACGTTAGCAGTTAGGCACAGTTTGCTTTCCTTGGTTTTCTGGCCTCAGACACAATAGGTAAAAAGTTAAACAATTAGCAACATTTACCAAATGCCTGGAAGTGAGTCCCTAATTGTTGAAAAAGAGACGGGAGTGGTGACAGCAAGGTGGGCTAGTAATATATGATAGTAATCATAAAAAGCATTTCAGGGGTTTCAAAATGACATTATCTGAAAGAAAATTAGAAATTGAATGAAACAATAAAAATATGTTTGTTATATATGCAGTTTGGGCGAACACTGACCCCTACTGTTCATAGCTCAGTATTGATAGCCCTTCTGATGACTCCATACACATGATGTGGCCCTCAGCCTTAAAAGGCTGGTGACCCCTGCTGTAGGGAATGATCTGATTACTACATTAATAATAATAATACCAATTAATAGTAGAAGTAGAATCATGACCACATTTAAGAGACAATGAGCTTTTTCCAAAGTTTTCAAGATAAAGTGAAGTGTTGAAGCTTATGGAAACCTTAATTTAGCCGTTGCCTGTTCCTGTTTCAGCTTAAAATTTCTACCATGAATTAGTTTTGTTAGATCTGATTTTACTCTTTCTAGGAAGAAGTATTCCCAAGGATTATTGGTAATAAAGTTTTGTTCCTTATGTGACTCTACTAAATATGTTATTAAACTTATTAAGCCATGAACAGCTACTGTTTACCAATGATGTGGACATGTTGAGCATTCACTACTTGCACTATTGTAAGCTGTATATCATTTCCACCACTTAGAGCACATTTGGTGTCCTTGTGTGCAAAAGTATGTATTCCCATTCAAACCTCACCACGAAAGTTATTAAATTAAACATACTGACATTTCAAACCCATTTGCATATATTAATATCTGCAATATGTCCTAAATCAGAGTACTTGTGTAGTTTTACATGCCCTGCCTCATTTCTTTTTGGGAGTTGGTTTAGAATCAGCTTTGGATGCTGGGAGGCCGTTCTCAGTGTTGTCAATCCCTGACGAGGACACAAGGCACTCTTTACTGCGAGAGGAAAGCAGAAAAAACGAGGTGGTATTAGATTTGCAGGATCACAACAGCCCAAAGGCAAACTTTTATCTTTAAGAGAATGACTTAAACAAAGCATGCATAGAGCTTCAACCGAAGCGTCACCAAGCAGCTGCAGCAGCAGTGGTGGTATGTGATGAAATAAAATGAAACATTTTCACTGTCTTTAGAGTACCAGGGACTTAAAACTTACTTTTTCTCCTCAAGTTTGGCAAGAACAAAGAGAGTTAAGTTCTTGAGTAACATGAAGGCCATCAGGAACGCGATGGCTCCCCCTACAGCCGAGGCTATAAGAATGGTCAGCGTGTTGTCCACCACCCTCACTATGGAGATTTAACAAACGGGGAGGAAAATCATTCACATTTAAACATATTATTATATGAGTTTTATAACAAAGACATGCTTAGAAAATCATGGAGTTGAATCCTTCAGATGATGCATTATTTTACACACTTTTATAGTTAATGAACACCTGCTTAAAATTACAAAAAAAAAAAAAATCATTTTCATCTCTGGTCTGATGAAATTCATCATTCTACATTCAACTGTCCACTTAGATGTGGCCCAGTTTGTTTTTACCTTTAAACGATGCATGTTCTGGTTTACTTTTTACCTGCATATCACTGGAGCATCAAGAAAGACTGTTTTATCTTTAAAATGGGCCAGTTTGTATTTTATTGTTTTATTTACAGGTAACAATTATGCAAATGCAGCTGTTGGATTTTTTTTTTTAATTTTTTTTTTTATTATTTTTTCAGAATTTACACTTTGTTTCTCTAAGTGGATAACAGCCACTTACCAATAGAGTACATGTTGATGGGAAATGTGTCGTTAACAGAAAAGTTCCTTTTGTGGCAAAGGGTAGTTTCTGTTTCACTTACTCACTAAGGACGTTCTCAGCATTAGACAGGAAGTGAGTAAAGTTAGTTTAAAAGCTGGAATACCCCAGAGATCAGGCCTCTTTTGGTGCATGCATGGTGTATCAGTCTGTGATAGCCTCAGCACTGATTTCTGTACTATTTTCCTTACCTTGTTTAATCAAAGTGAGCCAATAAATTTCTTTTTTCTTATTTTGTTTCTTTATTAATCTGCTGTAGCAAACCGCTACACTTTAAATCAGCTGAAAGTGTTTTGGACTTACACTCGTCCACCACAATTAGGTGGAATATCGCACTGTGGTTCTTGTTCTTCTCTTTTGGATTCTTCCCAAAACATGTGTAATAGCCTCCATCCTCGAAAGTGATGTTCCATATTAAGATGGAGATGTTATTTTTGTTGTTCTTTCCTATAAACTCCACTCTTTCTTTGTGAATTTGCACATCTGGTACCACGTCCTCTGTTGGTATCACAGCTTCACAAACCTAATGAGTTCAGAGAGAAGGCAGCTGTATAAAAAGCATAACCGAAAGCTGCGTGGAAATGTTTCAAAGGACCAAATGGTTTTACTTTTTGCATTGTGCCATTGTCGTTGTACTGCCAGTTGAAGTAGAGGTCCTGGATGCCGATACAGCTGGCGTAAGTGCAAGGCAGCATGACTGTGCTGCCGTTTACCGCTTGCAAGAAAGGGATTTTCCCCACGGACATTTCCAGGCCTTGAGCAGACCAAACACCTGGGAGAGCAATAAAAACGACAAAATTGAGAGAGATACACATGACAGAATGTTAGATCTTTGGTTTTCAATAACAAAACTATCTACTATATTTCTAAGTAAAAATCAAAAGGATATTTTGGATTGTAGCAACTCACAATTTCTGAAAAAAACAAACCTTGTTTTGGACAATCCCTGTTTGAATGTCATTGATTGGATCAATATAAAAGGAGGTTTTTGATCAATGTTCACCTATTTCCAAGGTTTATAAGGGATAAATATCTGAAGACTGTGAGAACTGAGAACTGAAGCAATACATGTAGAACAGAAAATATTAATTTTCATAACAGACTGAAGCATTGCATTATAAGTTAAAGACACAAAGTCACAAAGATTTATATAAAACAATTACAATAAGATATAAAACATACAACAAAAGAAACATCATGACATAAAAGCAAAGCAGAACAGAAGAGTTTTTAATTGACTTCAAATAATGTAATAGCATAAATAAAAAACTAATGCTGCTTCGCTTTAAAGTTGTGTGGAGCTACAGTATATTTGGGCCATAGAGTTTGTTCAAAAACTTTTTCATAAAACTTGGAACGTTTTTTTTTTTCTGGGTAAGGTCCAATACTGCCATCAACTAATTAGAAATATAACAGCTTTAAAACAGGTGCTATATATCTGCACTCGTAAAAGTGGGATTTATTTTTGCCAAGTTGTGATTTGTACCTGTATTTTTTTCAAAGTTTTAACTTTGTAACTTGTATTTTTTTTTTTACTTCCAACCTTATATTCTGACAAATGGAACATTTAATGTCAAGTGGAAGTAGGAGCTGACCACACTAATCTACGCAGCTTAAATTCAGGTATCTTTATTGACTTTTATTTACAAATGTATACTCCTTTGCACATGCTTTTATTGACAGTTATCCTAGCTCATACAATATTTGGTCAGTTTACATTTCCCGGCCTTTAAACAATCGATTTGTTTGTTTTTTGGGTTTTTTTTGCACTTTATTTACATTACTTTGTTTTAATTTAAAATGTAATCAGCATTTTCTTTATTTTTGTTCTTTTTTATAATCCCATTCTCTGCTCTTACTGGCTGTTTCACATTACAGGTCACTGAAATGTACTGTTGTGTAGAAATGTTGGATATTAGTTAGAGACAAAAACATTTTTTTTGTGCTGAGCAATGCTTAAAAGAGTTTCAGAACTCCTTCTTTTCCTACATCCACTATAACATCCATAAACTTAAAGCCTCAGTAACTCAACACCATTGTGTCCTTGCAGTGACATTACTGTCAAAAACAAAGCACTGAATCTGCTTGTGCTGGAGAGGGGTAACTCTACACTGCAGATGAAGGTCAGGCGACTCCAGGAAGTAGCAGTGTTGCCTTCACAAAAAAATAAATATGGTAAAATAAAAAAAGACACCAAAGACGAAGAAAGGTGATTTTTTTTCTTCGACCTTCTGTTATTTCAACACGTTCCACCTCAACATTTAGCTCTCAGTGGTTAACTTTCAGTAGAGGACGGACGGAAGGTATGAGCAGTGATAAGACCAACAGAGCAGCCATAACACCCTCTGCACTGTTCCCAAGGTTCCTGTAATTCTCCTCTATGTTTTGTGTCTCCATGTTACACAAACAGCACAGCCAAGGTTACCAGCAGGCAAACACTGCAGCATTTAGGAAAGGAGCTTAGCCAAGGCAGCCAAGGAGCTGGCTGAGCAAACCTCAAGATGTGACAGGACTCCTGGACCCCGCCTCAGAAGGAATGAAACAGGAGATATTCCTTTGGAAAACATTAATCGTTCTGTAATCACCATCTTCGAACGAAGATATGTTCAGGGTATTTGTATTTCAAATTTGTACGAAAAGGAAACATTTCCAACACTTCCTTTATTCAAATATCAGCCAAAAAGCAGGAAACCCTCAGGGTTGGTCCAAACAGCCCTGCTCCAGAGCAGGGTTTTTAGACTAATTGGTCATAATTCTACTCCAGGTATCGGGTTCTGCGCTTACTGAAATGGTAAAGTCAGGAAATATACCCCAAAACTTACTCTGAGTTACCACCCTGTTCATGAAATGGGGGCCTGATACCAGTGGCTACTTTTCTCAAAACATTTTCATGTCTTTAGGTTGGGTCAAGATGCATTAGTTCTTCCTTTCACCTCTCAGGCTGAGTTGGGCTGGTGATGTGGAGCTCATGTGTCAAACATGCAGAGTTAGTTGCAGTTTCTTTGGATTAATCAACAAAGTTGCTCCAATAACCTTTTCACTTAACAAACCAAATTTTGGATTAAAATCTACAGTTTGTTGTCATTGAGGTTATTTCTGCCTGATATAAACGTTTTTATATGGAATAAAGCTATGAAGAGGGAAGTTATAGAACAGTTATATCTCATTTTATTTCATTTTTCAAAGAAGGTAGAAGGTGCACTGTAGCTCTTTTAATCTGAAATTCACTTCATTTAGCTGCCAGGAAAGGAGTTTAGTTTACATATAGGCCAGAAACTAGGGCAACACTGTTCTGCTTTTCTCTCTTTATTTAAAAAGACAAAACTGAAATGAAATGGAATCGGAAATAAATAATCATTGTGAGTTTTGTTATATCTGTAAATGTGAATCAACACACAAAGGCAACAGCACTGTCCTTCAGGCATTTATTGTCTGCAAAGACAGCCAGTCATCTCACTGAACAAATCTAAAGAGGAGGGACAACAACAAAAAGCTCATACTGTAGTAGTAGTACTATCAGTAATAGTATCCTTTGTTAAACAATATACATTTTCAATGTTTTTGTTTTAAGGACATTTTTAAAATAGCTGACAGCAGGCCTCATTTCTCAAAGCAGGCTTATTGGTAATCCAGTTCAGTTCTAGGATAAATTCCTTTATACCCCGGTTTTTCCATTTCAGACAGCTAGGAAGCCATTACCTTGAGTAAGATGACAAACAACTCTGAAAAAACCCTTAAAGTCACAACATGGACTTTGTGACCTAAAGAGTTGGCACATATTAGTTATTTTAAATGATTCCTCAGGCCACTATACAGCGCTTGACACTATCAATGCTACCAATGGGGCTTCCCTCTTAAAATAATGAGTGTGTAAGTTGGGAGAAGATGCACCGTCGTTGACCAGGTTATGTGACCTGGAAGAACGTATTGCCACAGGCTTTTATATCGTCATGGAGCTAAGGCTTTTGCTTTACTATTTTTTTTCGCCTGCTTGACTACTGAGGCAAGGAAACAGTTTAAACCTTCTGAGGAGGCCAAAAAGAGAAAACGGGAAAGGGATTGCATGTGAGGAAAAACAAGAGACCAACATGGAGAGGAGTTTGTTCCTTGGAGCAGGCTGAAAGAAGTAACCAATTCTCTTTTCTCAATTCTATTATTAGGCTGGTAAGTTAAAACTTTGTATACAGTCAAATATCTTTATTTTTGATGTTTATTAGAAGCAAAATACAGGCAGACAAAGCTAGCAGGCTACAAACAAAAGCTACCAGAACCCCACAGCCTAAATGTATAAATCTCAGACATTCCGCAAAAAAGACAGATTCCTAATTTCATAAAAGAAAACCAGTAGAACAAAGCAGTGGTAATTTGTATGCCCATGATTCTGCTTCGCTGATTTTTTTTTCTATGTAATTTGCAGGGTGACTGTTTTTACTTGCATAGACATGAAACCTCAGATGTGAAAGTTACACGTCTTACACCCCCATTAGCCAATAGTTACACGGTGTGCTTTTAATACCCAATTGAAACAGCTGCTTCTTCAAATGTGTGCGTTTTAGTGCACAGATCTTTTTTGCACCTGGGCAATAAAAATAGCTCCTGTACTGGTTTGTATCTGCAAAATAAAGTTCACTTATCATGTCATGATGGCATTTAATCCAATATACTATCTGCAAATCCTGGAAATATGAATGTACGGTAGGTGGTTATTCTAGTAAATAATGGTCCAGGGGAGATTTTTAGCAATATTCCAGCTGCAAATAGTAAGTTTAAGGACATATTTAAGAAAACATAATTTCAAAGGTATGTGTATAAAGCGTATAAATGTTTCTCTCATGGTCAGATGACCTTGATTTTTTTTTTCTCAATGGGCTTTTGTATTGAGCAAATAAAAAACTCTTTGCCGGTTTTTTTTATGTTTTGCATTTAATTATTTAAGATGATCAAAAAACAAAATACTAGTGAAAGACAACAAAAGCATTGCATGCAGTTTTTAAATATAAGTTTTCATTATGAAGGGGGAAAAAAATCCAAACCTAAATGGCTCAGTGTGATTCTATTTTCTCTAGCTACACCCGGCCTGAAGTTAACTAAAACATCCTCTAAAGCCGGAAATCATGCTGAGATTAAAAGAAATTCAAAAACAACCCTTAATGTTGAACGTAATTACAGTAAATCACTTTGTAAAATTTCTTTGAACTGAAATGTGTCGAGTTACTGTAACATGCTTGTTTATTAAGTACATTTAACTCAAAACTTTGGTTTAACAGAAATATTTTAGCGTCCCAATTAAGTATAACTTAATTCACCACACAAAAAACATCTGAACCAATAAAGAAGTAGGCCTACATGTGCAGTTTTTGTAAATACGATCCCATTGGCCGGCTAGTTTTCAATGGGAGTGGCTAATGGGTACAGCTTAATTTTGCTGGGTAGCAAGTTTTTGTTTGTTTCAGAGAAATGGCGTTTCTGGCTCTTAAATTATTAATATCAGTGATCTCCTAATTTGGCTAATATGAAGGTTTATTCATTTAATACTTTATTTTGCATTTAGTGTTTTTTATCTGAATACATACACTTGCCTAATTTTATGTATTTGTTATGTTGCCATGGGGGCATTCTTATTTTTTGTATCATTTAAATAAAACTTTTAACTTTTACCTAACACAAAAACTAATGAATAAATTGCTGCAAACAAATCCACCAGAAAAATCATTTAAACCTAAATAAAACGTAATAAAAAAAGTAATTTCTGAGGCAGCTGGGTACCTCAAAATGTTTGAATTCTGGTTAAGTATTCTGGTTTACAGTATAATTTAGATCATTTATTGGACTGGAAATGGGTGTAAAGCTATTTCTAAACCTTTTGATTCCATAAACTATGGAGGACCAGGAGAGCCAGTGGGAAAAAAAACAACTATTACAAATTAAACATTTAAATCATACATTTATGAATCCTAATTAAACTGTTTGATTATAGTAAATTTTATATAGAATCATTAAAGAGGAATTGTAAATTGTATTTTTCAGTCTATTATATAATATTGCAACAGCTTGTTTATTTTTGTTAACTGAAACTAACAAAATGAAAAAACTGGAATAAAAAAAAAGAATTCTGTTACTGAATTAAAAGTAAAAACTACACCTTGCTAAAAAGCCGAAACTAACTGAGTCAGGAATTAAAGTTTACAAAGCTAATGTGCTTAGTTTTCGTTTGTGTCTGTGTATCATAATGCATTAATATATATTTTTTATTTTTTTTTATTATGCCAGTATATGGCAGTTACAGCAGTCAGGTCATTTTTCACCTGGGATTTTATTTCTATTCTTCTGCCCCTGACATATCATATTACATACTAGAGACTATAACTGAAACTAATAAAAAAACAAAATGAAACTAAGCATCTTCAAATAATAGAAACTAAATTAGTCAGCATAGGATAGAAAGGAAAAACAGTTCAACTTTTTTTTTGGATAAAGAATGAAAACTTCAAAACTGTTTAAACCTCGCTTATTAACTGTTTAGCTACAGCCCTTTAACAGTTTAGTTTAAATGTATTAATGGCTTAGCCTCATCTTATCAACCATTTTATTTTAGCTTAACCAGTTTAGTAAATAGCCCTTTAGAAACAGCTTATGAAAAGTTTATTAAAAAGGGTCACAAAAAGCTAAAAAAGAAAGGATGACGATAATGTGCAGGGAACAATTAATAGGCTGCAACCAAATATGTTGTTGTTTATACATGGAAATATGAAATGGAAACCAGAAATGCTATAACATCAAGGACTGGAAACTTCAAGGTAAAAAAAATATATGAAAATGAAAAAAGAAATGACCTTTTTAAATGTTTGATAAGGGAAGGTATTAACCAGATTACATACATTTATATACAACTCCTCTATGATAGTTTACCCTAAAATGTGCAATTACACATCGCTTTTCAAAAAGGATTTTTTTATTATAAGATAACATTTTTAAATTTTAAATGAATAGATCCTTTTCATTGACTTTTTTGGTCTTCCATAGTTAACCAGAGTAAGAACTATTATCAATGAATGGGGAAAACATGGAACAGTGGTGGTCCCCCACAAGAGACCAGGACACAGGGAAGACTCCTCAGAAAGGGCACAAAGGAGCAGCAACAACATGTAAAGACCTGCAGGCCTCAGTTATGGTCAGAGTTTATGCCTCCATCATCAAAAAGACACTGGCCATAAATGAGCTGTATGGCAGAGATCCAAGACCAGAAGTAGAAAAAAGATTAAGAACAGAGAAGGAATAAAATATTCTGCAGACTGGCGAGTCAAAAGCTGAAGATTATGGAAAGTTTTTCTCATAATAACACCAGGTTTCAGACAAACAACATTGTTCCAACAGCATATAAGTAAAGTGGAGGTAATATGATGTTCAGGGCCCCGTTGCTGTTTCAGAAAGGCTGTGATAAATAGACCAATGAATTCAGCTGTTCACCAAAACATCCTCTGCTGGTGACCACGGCAGGAAAACAACCCAAAACACCAGCAAGTCTCACTCTGAGTGGAAAAAGTGGATTGTACTCATTACTCTATGAGTAAAAATCTGGAAAAGGGAAAACACTTTTTCACATCACTGTACAGTTAGGAGAATTCTGGGACACACACAGAAAAGAAATAACCAGAGAAGTATCACATAACATAGAAAGAGGAGATAATATAATGAAGACAGACTTTACCAAGCAGCAAAGTGAAGGCTGCGTATGGGGAGCCAAGCTTGGAGGGTTCAACCCCAATCCACCGTACCTCCATGGCAGCTGGCTTTGTCTGAGACAAAGATCCAGCCCTGGCTCTTTTTGATTCTGAAATTCCCTTCAGACAAACTCTGCTTTCCAGATGTGAGGGTAAAATCTGGAGTCCCAAACAAAAAGCTGCTGTAGATCGAAAGTCTCTCTAACACCTACAGATGCACTCATGGAGGAAATGCTGTAGATCAGGCAGAGGGCAGAAGATAAAGAGGAGAAACAGCAGAAAAAAGTGGGGAAAAAAGGAAAAAATATTTCAGTGCGATGTTAAAACTTTTCCATAATGTACAAAAAAAGAAAAAAAATAGAAAGTCTTAAAGTAACAGCTCCTTTCTGTTCTCTAAAGTAAAACAGCAGAGTCTGTGCCTACCTGCTCCTGTGGCCGGCCGGCTGGCTTCACAGCTGAGTCAGTGTGGGACGGGACGGAAGCACAGCGGCAAACTCTCACTGCGCAGAGTCAGGGTTCACACAAGGAGAAACTGCCAGCCAGCACTTTCACTGCAGAGACAGCCACATTGCAGTGCCAGCCAGGAGGGGAGACAATCAAGGAGGAGAGACCTAGGGGGGGTGGGGGTTTCAGCAGTGCAGACAGACAGGAGGGATACGGGGTTCCATCCCTGTGCAGGACCTCAGCAAGTTGCATCTATCCCAGCATCTTCCCTTTAGATGCTTATGTTTTTTTTTGCTTGTCATCTCTTGCTGGCTGCATGCCATCCCCACTTGTCTGGTTCCCCATTCTTCAAACTGCCCCAGTTTCCCCACCCAACTCTCTCCCATTGCCTTACCTTCTATTGTCAGATTTGGGGGGGGCAGCCTTTGCTGAGTGCTTTGAATAACAGGTAAAAGTCTGCAGTGCTGCTCGGAGAGGAGGGTGTGTGGTTCAGCTTCAGTGTTGTGTCCGGGACGCACCCCAATTCATACACTTGTACTTTCATTCTTACTTCAGCATGAGAAATACAGCAGGAGGGTCAAAAATGTAGATAGTTTTCTCCCTTTTTTTCTGAAAAAACACTTTTATGTTTATAATCAGCATTTCCAGCATTACTCGGCAGATTCAGTGGATGACAGGACAGCTTTTTCTTTGCTCCATGGTAAATTCCTCATGATTCTAGCTACAAACCTCTGAGTATCTTTTGATTGGCAACATTATCACTGTGCACCTTGATTAAAACAAAATTCTGATTGGCTGGTAAAAATATTAGGAGAAAAGATAAGTTTCTGGAAACAAGTGATGTGAAAAGGGGAAATTGATGATCTGGACACAGTGGCAGAGCTAGAAAATTTTTCATGGGGTAAGGGACAAAGGAGGCTCAAAATGTCCAGGCAGAGAGGCAGTGCTGGACTACTTTGAAAGATGCAGGCAAAACTTTCAATTAACATTATGAGGTGAGATAACAGTCAAAAATACATTAATAGATGTCTGACTGTGTAAAGGCAAGTCACTTATGTAAATAAATGTAGGATTTAATTTTGTTTCGTGATTTCATGTCAAAGCAACATATGCTCTTCATCTGTTGAAAACATGTATTAATACCAGTTAGAAAGTTAGAGCTTCAAAACATTATAAGGGCAAATAACACAATTGTAAAAACAGACCACAAACGAACTAAAACAAATCCCAAATATATCAGTACAAATAGCAAATTCAGGAATTATTGATTACAATTTCTAATGTTGAATTCTGGTTCCCTAACCTTCTCAGTGTTTTGGGGACAAACTTTGAGTTTCTGAAGAAGGTGGTTGGCGAATGACATCACTGTTGAACCTCTGAGGATTTCTGAATCCATCCAGGTTGGTTAGGAGGAATCCTGCTTTGACAGTTACTCATTGGTCCAGGGGGAACACACAGGGTCAGATCCATGAAAGCATCATGATCAAAGAGGACAAACTAGAGTACAGAATCCAAGAGCCGATCCGGAGTCAAAGCCAGCTGATCCGAGACCCAGAGCAAATTCAGGGGAGAATCCCGAAATAAGGTTGGGGCACAGAAAACAGGTCAGGGATCCTAAAAAGGACACCATGACAGGTCTGATAGGGATCAAGCAAGCTCAGAAAATCAAGAAGTAGAATCAGGTCATAATCAGGCAGACAAGTAACATTAATGCTGGATTAAATTCACCAATGGCTTGTAATAATCTGGAACTAGTGACTGGTCTGAGAGCTGGTTATATAATCAATAGAGCAGGTGGATCTGATGAAGGCTGACTGGGAACAGGGTGGAGCTGACAGGTGTGTTGAATGATGAATTAAACCAGCACTGGTGCCGAGAATCATGACATTTACCCATACAAATTAAAAATTAGCAAATACATATCCCAAATACAAAATATGAGGCCAGGAAATATGGAGATAGTAGATGAGAAGAGAACAGGAGAGAATTTACTGGTGCATGAAAAGCAAAAGAGCAAAAAGGAGCATGGACTGGTGATATGTTGGCATTTAATCTACCCTGATACAACGTTCAAAATGCACATGTAGAGTAGTTCACATGCACGTGTCTTAAATAAAATTGCTTTTATGAGTTGTTATTTGCACCTCTGGCAAATATTATAGTATCTGAATATTATCTTGACTACATGGTATCTGCCTATCAGGTATAGGGCAAAGATATGTTGTTCCTGTTGTCATATATTTACTTCCTAAATTACCTGATTTTCTGTCTTATATTTGAATCTATGTTACTCTGACTTTTCTATATCTGCTGTGCTGATGGATGGATGGATGGATGGATGGATGGATGGATGGATGATAATATTTAAACAAACAAAAACAATACAGGAATGTGCCTCTCCTATTACATAAGCTTAATCAAAATAATCAACTAATAGTGTTTATTAGTGCCATCTGATCATTCAGTCTTCTCTGTCTTCTTCCCTCTTGATCTTCCTTTCTTTCTAGCCGACTTCTGCCTGCCTTAACTCTTCTAAGTAGATTTTACTTTCTTCACTTCAACTGATCTTTCCATCAGTGTTCATAATTTCCTCTACTCTCATTCAATCTTCTTTCTATCAGTCTTCTAATCTTCTTCTTCTCCTCTTCTATCAATTTAACACTAATTTAAAACATGGACGTAATACAATCAAAATCCCTTCCAAACACATATGATCTCATCATACATATGATTATTGTGAGGATGTGATTATTATTATTGTTACTGTTGTTGTTGTCTCACCTGATTAAACACTAAAAAGGCTTATCACTACAAAATTCAGCTACAAATACAAACGACCTAATAAATGAACATTAAACAGGTGGTTATCTCTTCCTCCATCATTCTCAGATCATGCAGATCTTGTCTTGTTCAGTTTTCATTTTACTGCCTCATATTTTTTATAATGCAGAACTTTAATATACCAAATATGAGTGGGAGAAAAGTAGACCTAAGCCTGGAAGTCTATGCTCATATCACAACCATAAAACGGTAAAACTACTTATAACTCTACTTACAATAACAAAATATCTGAAAAAATAAAATAAAAATTACCGATCAGCTCTAAAAACATCTTCAGATGAACCCTTGTTAATCCTTGGAGAACCACTGAACCAGATTAGCACCTTGCAAGGAGTTTTCGATCATTCTGTTCATTCTGAGCCTATTTCATCATACCAGCTGCAGCCAATGGTCTGTCCTAATTTTTGGTGATAAGCTTGGATTATGTTACATTTTTGGTCCTCATCTTTAGAAAAACAAAACACATCGAAGCCCAATTTTTTTATTAACCTGGGCACGGACCAAACATCTACTGCAATGATCAGCCCATATCAAATAAACCGATTAACACACTCACCATAACACAGGGCAGCTGCAACCAGTTCCTCGTCTTTTTTAAAAGTGACGTACTCTGCTTTTCATCTATACGTTAACAGCTGCCAATCAACTAGCTAACAGCTGAGTCTGTGCGCCAACATGCTCACGCATTCTTGGTGCCATAATAACAGTCTACACACAACATTTTCCACCCCTCATTAATAAAAACGTAAAATCTGGGATATTTCCGGGGACAGCTTTAGCCGGGGACAGGTGGTGTAAAATGGGGGCTGCCCCTGGAAATAGGGAACGTCTGTTACTGTATACTTCTCTGGCCTCAGATCTTAATAAGAAGCATAAAAATAATCTGAGACTTTTTGTGTCACTTTGTTAAATGGCGGAGCTCAGTCTGTCTTAGAACGCAGTCCTTCAAGACTGTGAAAGATTGTTTTCTACCTTACACTCCTTTAGATTGCCACTGAAATTTGATATAATATAATAACATGAGTAATAATATGCAGGGACTCAAAAAGAGATCTGATTCTGAAGAAAGAGTTTCTCTGACTGGCATTGCCATATGATGACGTCATAAGAAGGGACGGGGCACCCAGCAGATCTGGTACCTACAGAGGCTCTGGAGCTGCAGGTTTTAGACCAACACCCTGGTCTGGCAGATAAAAACTGTAATCCTTTTTCAATATGGCAGAAGCTAAAAGTACAACAGCTTTATTTAAATCACTATTAACACACAAAAAAGTTAAACAAATGTAAACAGAAAAAAATGCATCTGAAACTAGTTCATTTAACAAAGAAGATTGGTAAACATAATCGTCTGAGAAATGAAATTATGAATTGTTCAATCATTTCAATATAAAAAACTGATCTAGTAATCTGTATTCAGTACAGGGACCGTAAGATGAGCCAAGGCCCCCATTGGCCACTGTCTCTAACCGCCCATGATAAGATATTAAACCTTCTGGATGGCTGAGAAACTTTTTTCTGTAACACCAGGAAAAGTTTTGCAGTGACCAGCCTGCAAAAAAGAATGATTTACTTTTTTTTTTTTTTTCTGTTTTAGAAAAACAGTGACTATTATGAGTCTATTTACACAGAGATTAGTAAAATACTCCCGTATTTCTAGCATTTATCTTAACTATTTTTTATTAATTGCATTTTTTTTTTTACTATGTCAGAACTGTTCATTTCATTTATAGCAGATCTGAATCATTTTGATCTATTTTAATCTATTAATACAATCACAACACAGAATGAAGGGATAAGAAACACATGAAGAAAACTTTCTAGACTACTTTCAATTTATCATAACTCTATGACATAATAGTTAAGGGAAGTAGACTGTTGTCAGATGCTACGTTAGCATTGGTCTAAGGCGGTTTGTTCAGGATGCGGACTCACCACCCTCCTCTGCACGCCCCTCCACTGGAGAATCAATGCAGCAGCAGTGGGAAGCTTTCCAAAACTGCAATAAAAAAAAGGTCTTTGCTGCAGAAAGACTGAGTGCTGCAGCAGACCAGTCGAAAGAAGCTGCTGCAACATGATGAGGGCGTCTGTTTGCAGTTATTAATAGGAGGTATTTTATGCATAGATACTGAGTTCATGTGTTCCATTTTATAATTCAGTGGTACCATGAAGATGCATCCTCAGCTTTATACAGAACATCGGTACCTCTGGGATTACTGCAGTGAGATATGTGCTGCCTGCAGCAGGAGACAAGGACACACATCTCAGGTGTTATTATACAGTTGTGACGTAACATTTTAAGACTCAGCTTCATATGTAGAGCACAAGTTAAGGAAGATTAACAATATGTGACTACCCGTCCCACACAAACACACACAGACTCATTCTGCTATACGTAGTGAGGACCGTGTGTTGACTCCCATGGACTTCCATTGATTTTTAGTCATTTTCAACCCTCTCTATGCCTCCTTTTGGTTGCTCTTACAGGGTTTTAGTTCGTGGGGCCTTCTAACAATAAGCCATTGTAAATCCTGGAATAAAATCAAGGCAAATCTGTAGAACTGCACAAACCAGCCTAACTGGTGAACATGATAGGAGCAGCACCATAGCTAGACTTAGAGAATACTGAGATCAAAGTGCAGGAAAAGTTATGTAGAAGAACACATATAAAGCATGTGTTATAATTTTATGTATCTTATGGTGAAATTGTAAAAAAAAAAAAAAAAAAAAAAAAAAGGAAACAACAAAGAAAAAAACTTTGGCTTTATTTTATGGAGAAAAAAAATCATTAGTCTGTCAGCTTTTCATAAATGCAACACATCTGAAACATGTCAATGGGCGGTAGTAACGCTAACTAAACTTACGGATGCTTTGCTGGACTTGAGTTTAGCTTTCAACACCATCATCCCACAGCATCTGATAGGAGAACTAGAACAGCTGGGCTTCAATACACACTGCCCCCACCATGGACTGTTCTCCAGCAGATTCCCAAACAGGTTTTTCCCCACCTCCATAAGACTGCTGAATACTGAAAAAATCTTTAAATCATGTCACAGACTCTGCATCAAACTAACCATATCAATGCTTTTTTTGCACCATGTTTTTTCTCCGACAATGTTTAAATTTGAGCAGTGCTACACTTTAAAGGTCAAATAGAAACGAGTGTGTCTAGAGCAGTTTTATTTTGTGTAATGAAAGATTATCCTTTCTTTTCTCTATGTGTCTGGTCTTAATCATGCTAAAAGTGCTCCAAGTAATAAAAATTTATGGAATTTTACAGTATGCTGGGCGCCTCTAGCGATCCCCAGCTGTGACATCAGTGAAGTCAAACGTTCTCTCACAGCATCATTTGGATTCAATATACCAAAGTTGCATTGGCTTATTTTCTCTGTTGTATAGCTTTAATAAAGTGCCTGATGGCAATAAAGCTGACTCAAAGCATTGTTTATTTTTTTTTTATGAAATGTTTTTTTTTTCACAAAACCATAGATAGTTGTACAGTTTAGTTTCATGATTGGTTTACGAATCTGACTCACATGCTGAGATAACCACTCAGAGAACAAGGCAAAAGTTTAACAGGTTTATTGAAGGCGTTGACAGGAGTTGGATCTGGAACTAAGTGAATTGGTGACCCGGAACGGGAAGTTCAGTGGTCAGTTCAGGTACCGTGGGAATCTTTGAAGCTCTGAGATTTTGCTAGGTGGGGATCTTTGAGGGGGGTCTTGTTAATCCCTGAATCCAGACTGTGTGGTAAATCCAGAGAAGGGTGCAGACATTGGAGGGTGGATAGGTTGACAAGCTCTGGACCCGAAGGAGTAAAAAAGGGGACTGTCACTCAGATTTCCGATGGGTATTTGAACAGAACATATGGAGGTTTTCCCCTGCTCAGTATAACTCGTTTTTTTCCTTCAAGTGGAGAGAAGTTCAAGGAGTCCAGTAACACAGGAAAGCTTCCTGTCGGTGAGCAAAGACAAAAACTCGTTAGACTCAGAGAAACAAAGCTAGGTTAGACTCAGCTTAACTCAGCTTGGTTAGAGTACCCAAAACTGGCAAACACTCTGGCGTCGAGGTAGTGACAGTCCACTGCTCTAATACTCCTCCAGATAATGATCCAACGAGCCGCAGGTGTGCAGGGAGGGACAGCGAAGACAGGGCACCTCCTGGTGGTGGAAAACAGAGACACACAAACAGGCCACACAAACTGGATTCCTAACAGTTTAGTATAGTCACAGCTCCAGATAGATTTTCATATCATTATGGTCCGGGATCCAGAACAACAAGAACCATGATAGATAACAGTCACAGCAGGCGGAGACCCACATCCGCTCCGAAGCCAGCCGGGGACGGAGCGACCGACTCGACCAAGTGACTGCAGTCGAGTAAAATCCCAGACGATTTTGAAATTCATGTCCTACCATAGTTTGGGCTAACTAAAACATGGTTAATGCTACACCCATCCACACGGCCTGATTTCCCACACCACGTATGATAAGAAATCTAACTATGCAGACAGCTCTGCGTTCGGAAACATAGTGGAAAAGTGACAGCTCTGCTACTGGCGAGAGTATATAAATATAAGAGACATCTTCTGATTTGGCCCATAAATACCACAACAATCAACAGATGTTGAAAGACACATTAATTACTGTCACTCTGAGATGAAGCAAAGAGGCTTTGAAAATTCAAAACAGCTTGAACCAAGTCTGGCCTGCTGTGGGAAAGTTAGTTGACTTGGTTACATGACATGTAATAAAACAGGAGTGGTGGACGGCTGGTATGTCACACTTCCACACCCAGTCTGGCGTTTTCACATTCTTTCAACCTGAAAAACAGACTCTCTGCCATAGTGGACTTATCTCTTTAATCAAAAGCTGCTCAAAATATACATTTAACATTTCAGGATTTTAATGAAACAGAAATTTTATTTCACTTTGTTTACAACACATTTTGAAATTAATACATTTCTGTGCATTGTCACCAGTCTGGGGACTGCTGGATATTGGATTTTGATCCAATATTGCTGCAAAGAACACGTTTTGTAAATAGAAAAAAAAATTAAAACCTAAAATAAAACTTTTAAAACCTTCCGATTTAAGAAAAAAGGTTTTACAAATGTTAAATTCTATTGGTTAAGGTTCATTGGCATTAATTTTTATTGGTTAAGGTTTGAACTTTTGTATTGGGCTTGAAGAAAAGAGTATAACATTTGTAAAACAAAATTTGAAAAAAATTGAAAATATAAAATGTGTAAAAAAAAAAAAAAGGAAAAAATACAATACAAAAAAAAATTTGAAACTTTAAAATTGAAAAAAAGTTATTTTATTTTATAGAACTTTGAAAAAAAGGAAAAAATTTAATTGGAAAAAAAATAAATGTGACAAGTTTTTTTTTTTTTTTTTCTTCAGAAGTTTAATTTCTGGATTGCAATTTTACTTTTCAATTTTTATTTACAAAACTTGCTATTTGCATGCAAGAATAGTGCAACAAAATCAACTCCAGGTATAAACAGATAAATGTTATCTGCACTCAGAAGGCAGTTGTAAATATGGAGCAAATAATAAAAAAGAAATGTCTCTCAATTCAATAAAAAAAAAAACAGAATCTGTAAAAAGGTTTAAAAAGCAGTGTCAACAACTTTTTAGCACTGCTTTAAAACAATAAAACACAAATATTAAACAAAATCAATAAAAAATACAACATTTAGAAAGATGAATTTTGAAAGAATGAGTGAATATAAAAAAAAAAAACACTATGAGAAGTCAAAGAAGATGTCATTGTGCTTCACTGTGAAGAATAAAGACCCTTAGCTTCTGGGATTTCCAAAAAGTTGCTAATATTTCTATTGCAGGAAGAGGCTGGAAGCTCAGGAGGAGAAACGAGAACAAGGCTTTTTGAATGTCTGTTTGGTCTTTAATGTTTGGCACAATAAATAATGTAGATTTAAAGAAAAAATGAAATAAAAAAGGGGAAACTGGTCAAAATGTTTTGGGTTGAGGCCGGATGGCGCTGGCTGCAAAAGGACAAACTGATGAAGATGTTTAAAAATAAATGATTTGTAAATGTGTTAGGAAGAAAGCATCTCTGGTTTCCCAGTGATTAACCGCTGCCTTTAGCTACCAACAGTGAGCTGAAACAGAGTTTGAAATATTTGCATGGCACCATTTTCTTTAAATGCATCATTCCTTTTACTAAAACAGGATTTTCTTTTTGTCTTCATCATCACCACCATCATCATCATCTTCGTCGTCGTCATCATCGTCACCATCTCCGGGATCATCCTCCTCCTCATCGCCCCCACTGCTCGGCTCAGACTCCTCATCATCTGAACTACCAACTTCCTTTTCCTTTTTCAGAACCGTCAGGTGAACTGCCTCTGCAGGTGAACTGTGGTAACCATGGTAACCACGGTCAAACAGAATCAGCCGCAGACACACAGAAAAACAAAAGTGAAAAAAAGTGAGACGGGGACAATCTGGGACGTCAGCTTACACAGGTACAGGGGTCAGTAAATGAGTATGACGGCGTTACCTTAGTTAACATATCTGTTGCCAAGGTAACAGAAAGGACAGATGCCAAAAAAAAAGGTTACCTTTTTGTCAATGCAAGCCCAAAGAACCAGTGCGCTCCCTGACAAAGAGGAGTTAAACCAGCTCACTGTTCTCCAGGGTGTGGATTTCAGAAACTCTTCACCTGAACTCAAAGATGGGAAAGTTTTGCGTAGCAACAGCTGTTAGTGCAGCGGTGTCATGCAGAGAAAAGAAAGGGGGAAACATTTTTTGCATTTTGTCCATTAAGCCTAAAAAGAAAAAAACCTCCTTCCTTCCAGCAGAAACCTTAATTCAATGCACTTCTTGTTGCCAAAAACAACCCAAAGGTAGAAAAGTCAAGAAAATGAGCAGTTTGATAAAAAGCTAATTTATGCATCAGAATCGCTCCGGTAAATGGAAATCCAGACCCACAATGAGTACAACAGGGGTCCATATTTACATCCCTTCAGCATTCTAAACTCTTAAAAACCATAAAAGTTTTTCATCAAATTACATTTTTTGAAAAGTAGAGTTGATAAAAATGTCCAGATTTTTCATTTAAAACAAAATATAATACTTAATACTACACTTCCATTACTACAGCGGCCTTGGTAGTATCTGAGAACTGGCTCTAGGGGAGAAAACATGACAGAAAAAATTGTCCTCTTCCAAGAAAATGGACCCAAGCAGCCAGACAGACTCCACAGCAGTCCCGACAGCAAAAAGATGACAAAAACTCTTGTTCTCTGGAGCCTCACCAAATAGTCGGCTCATTCTTGCTGCACTCCTCTTGATATTCAAAGTCATCTTCCCTTTGTTTCTTCCGGCAAACCTTCACAACAGCAAAGATGCCGAGGAGAACCAGGACAAGGCCGCAGCAACCCCCGACAATGGACAAAAAGAAGGTGGCGTCAGAGAGCGTCACTGGAAGGAGGAGCACAAACAGTGATTTGACTCGGTTGAAGGGGGGGGCAAACAGTGGTCAAATTCAGTTCGTATCGTGTCCTGGGTGTCTACTTTAACAGACAAACACTACATTTTCAAGGAACAGGATAATTGGTTTAAAATATATTTACAAAATTCAAAATGAGCACATTTTAAAAAAAGGATTTTTAATTTATATGTTTAAACTTTGTAAATGTATATTTAAAAATATACACGTTTTGTTAAATGTTATTTTTTTCCCCAAAAAAATTACTTTTTTTTTTTTCTCGAATTTTACTTTTCAAATTTTTCTTTTTCATGTTTAGTTTTATAAATTGCAATCTTTTGTTGCATGTCACAGATCATCCTCCTCACTTCTGGGGGCAGCAAAGAAGCATTTCTGTTGGTCTGCTGGACGTTAGCAACAACATCATTATAGGTCAACGTGACCGTTTGAGTTGGGCTGGAACTATAAAGTGTGTGATCTTTAAAACGCAAATAATGCAATCAATAAAATTCAATCTTAGAAAACCGATAAAAAACTAAAATTGGAAAATATAATCTATTGAAAAAGTCAAAAACAAATCATGGAAAACAGCAAAGTTACCATTTTTAACCCTTTTTTAAAAAAGTGTATTATTGGATTTTATTCAGAAAACATGTTCTTTGCTTGCAACAATTATGGATCACAGTTCACTCCATAGTGTTGGTCTATCAAAAAAAAAAACCCAAAGCACATTGAATACTAAAAGATTTTAAATGTGAAAATATATTGCTAAAATAAGGGATATGAATACTTTTACACGTCCTGTTTACAGTTTCAATGTAAACTAACAATCCATTGACGTCTCATAGCATGTCTCACCTTTGTTGACGACTCTGAGGACAGTTTGTCCACTACTGCCGTGGAAGTCTGGAGGGTTGGTCACATGACAGGTGTAGGTTCCATTAAAGTTGGGCTGCACATCGTTTAAGGTGATGGAAGCATCTTTTCTCCCTATATCTCCTGACCACACTGCGTGGCCTTTAAAGAGCCCCTCTTTTTGAGGATACGGAATCTCGTGGTAGTAAAGCACCTGAAAAACACACAGCCAATGGTAAATAAAGCACAAAAATTGAACCGAAAAAAAGGGGATAGCAAAATTCTTATACTGTTTATACTGAAACTGACAAAAAATAATACTTCCTTCAAATGATAAATCATTCATTTAGACTTAGACTTCGACTCAACTTTATATA